GTCCATTTGGCAAAGAACTAATGTCAACAATTGACAAATGATAATTCTTGAAACTGAAAATCTACACAGCTAAAGAAATAATCAACCATGTAAAAATGAATCCCACAGAATGGGAAAGAATATTTACCAGATATATATCTGTCTAAGGATTACTATTTACAATGTACATTCTTCCAAATACACTGACCCCAAAACAAATAATCAAAAACACAAATGACTTACTCAGAAAATGGGCCTGCGAGCAAAAAAAAAAAATGGCACCCCAAAATGGAGATACATATATATATCTTAAAAGATTCCTCCACCCTAGCAATGAAAGAAATGAAAATCAAAACAACTTTGAGGCTTCATTTTACCTCAGTCAGAGAGGCAAAGATCAACAGAATGACTGATTACAAATTCTAGAGGGAATACAGTGAAAAAAGAAAACTCATTCATTGTTGGTGGGATTGCAAACTGTTGCAGCCTGTTTGGAAATTAGTATGAGAGTTCTCAAAAACGTAGAAATAAACCTACCTTATGACCCACCTCTTTGCATATGCTTTATGTATTGAACATTCTACCCCACAAATATTTGTTCGTAATGTTCATTGCTACTCTAGTTACAATAGCTAGGGAATATTTAAAAAAAAAAACTAAATGTCCAACGACTGACAGGGAATATTAAAAAACTAAATGTCTAACAACTGACAAATAGATGCTAAAATGTTTCTTTGGAGCAAATCTACTACCACAGTGAACTTACTATTACTCTGCTAAATGCATATAGTATTAAATTCCTGATTATTTATCATTATTTTTGATGATTAAGGCATCTCTCAAGCATCATTAAAGAAGGGTCTATTTGCAGTGGATGATGATCAATGTGGAGACCAAGAACTGAATAAGGTATGGGGAATATGAATCTGTAGTATTTTCAATCCTAAATGGAACATATATATGATATCACCTCATTAGCATGTTCACGGATCACTGTGGAAGTCGGGAGGTCAAAATATATAAGTTTTAGAGGAAGTGGATGGTCGTGTGTGTGTGTGTGTGTGTGTGTGTGTCTTCTGGACATAGTTCAACAGTTGCACATATAACCTCTCAGCAGTTGCAACAACATGTATAAGTCTTGTGTAAACCCAAGTCATACCAAATCCTACCATAGAGAAAAAGAACATGAACTTCAACACTTAACTAAGAAGCTATTAGACAATTCGTAGCTATTAGAATACTAAGGGCCAGTTTTCTCTAAGAATGTAATCTATGATAAGTTTATCATGCTCTGGTGGAAAAATCCAAGAATATTTTGGGAGCACAAATTGGTCTTGATGAGGGAAAATGGACACAAAGTTGGATGAGAGATGAAGAGGAATGGATCTTTGAAGAATCAGGGCAGGGAGGGTGACAAAACACATTGTAAAAAGTTCTCAAAGAACTAATAAAAATTTCCACCTGTATGTATGCTTTTTAGGTCTAATCATTGCGTATTCGGCAATCAAATGGCATGCTCTGCTCTGAGGAAGATTACTTTTCCTTCTCCCAATATATCTTAGTTGCTTACAGTCCTAAGTGAGACCTCATGGGCTTTTCTCTTATACTTAGATATTTAGGAATATAAGTCCAGAAGTAATGCAAAAGAAGGCATGAGCAAACGCTTAGAGGGAATAAAAAGATGGTAGGAATGATATAATTATAATTTTAAAAGGATAAAAGTAATAATTAAAAGGTTTTTGGCCTCCAATCTTAGCATCTTTGGTCTGTTAATAATGCTACCTTGTGGGACTTCCGGTCTGGGCCCAAGCACAGAACAGAACCCAGGCGGCAGCTCTGTACCCAACCCACAAAACTCAGAGGAAGAGGGCCTCCCAGGAGCTCTAACCCGGGCAGTATCTCAGGCAAAAATGAATCACCCGTGATGTCTGCTGTTAGAAGTTCTAAGCCAGATGCTGGCCTCCAAACTTATACTGCTCAGACCTTCGATGGGCCATTGACAAGAACATTAAACAGCTAGAGAATGGCATCACTAATCTGAAGAAATCCCTCGTTTCACTGTCTTAAGAGACCTCCAAAAATTGCAAAGGACTTTATTGAACTTGATTTACCCTTTTACAATAGAAAAGACTTGTATAGCTCTTGACTGTGTATAGCCCTTAAAGAAGAATGTTGCCTTTACATAGACAAGACAGGGATGGTTAAAGAGAGCATGAAAAAGGTCAGAGAAGGCCCTGAGAAAAGACAGACAGAGAAAGAGAAAGATGAGAGCTGGTACAAGAATTGGTTTTCAATCTCTCCATGGTTGTCAACTCTACTTCCTCCCATCTTGGGACCATTAATTGGGTTATTTTTGCTTACTTCTTTTGGTCCCTGGGCCTTAAATAGGATGGCTAACTTTGTGAAATAACAGATAAATAATTTGGTAGCAAAACCTATTCAGATACATTATCATAAGTTAGCTATGGAGGACCATGAGACTCAAGATGAAGTTGCTACTCTATCCAGGATACTCCCAAAACCCATCTCCACCCAACCTAAAAGAGAGGACTTCCACCCCTAGACCTAGCAGAGAGGGGCCGTCCAGAACTCCCTCTGGCTGACGATCTGAATTCTTGCTTAGGCTGTGAGGCTAAGCACTGCAAGGGAAAATAAATAAAAGTTTAAAATATCTCTCTGTGTTCCCTGAGGGACAAGCCTGACTGCATAGGCGTTGATGTCAAAAGTATCCCCTCTCCAGGAAAAAGATGTTGGGATGGGTATGGCCCTCATGCCTCACTGGACAATGACAGGGAGACTGGAGCCATTACAAAGTCCTCTTCAATTACTGGCAGTCAGGCCTCTATCCCCACCTTCACAAGATTAGAATCACCACAGCCCTTCTATACTTAGAGAAGAGAGGAGATGTCAGGAGCAGCCCTGTTTATACACTGGAGGCCTAAAATCAGTCATAGGTCTAAAATGAGCAATAGGCCTGTCATACATGTATACTAGCACCAAGTCTTGGGTCTCTGTCGAAAAACATTGGAACAGATGGCTATAAGCTATTGTAAACAGGCAGCTTTTGTGGAAAGTTACCAGCCTGAGTAGTCATAGATCTTGTAAATAGGGAGCCTTGGCAGACAATACCAACTTAGATAAGGACAAGTGAATCATAGGCAGAGTCATAGTGACCTGTCCCCTGAACCTTCACCCAGCCGATACCCTGTTCTGAAAGATATCTGTACTCCCTCTGAACACCCACACTCCGGTGTCATCCCCTTCCCCACGTGCTGCCTTTTTGTGTTTATTACCCCTGTGTGAATAAGCAAAAATTACAATTTTATTTTTTAAAAAAAAAGAAAAGAAAGAGAAAAAATAATGCTACCTTGTGTTTTTCTGATCAAAATCCTTATTTATAGTTGAGAACTTGAGTTTCTGAGGCATCTCTAAACTTGTGTTTAATTCTCAGTAACCCCACACCATATAAACTCACCACTGATATTTCTATTATAGAAGACTACTTTGGGTCATTGTTTCTCACTGTGATTTAGTTGGGAAAATGTAAACGGAAAAAGTACAGGAAATGATGTAAACATGTGTGGACATTTTTAATTACCATTAAATGTATTAATTTTGTCTGTGAGCATTTTGCCTGAACCTGGAGTTAGAGATGTTTTTGAACTATCATGGGGGTATTGGGAACCAAAACAAGTTTCTTTACAAAAGCAAAACCTGCCCTTAACTGTTAAACCATCTCTCTAGTTCCATCACTCACTTTTAAAATGGGCATAGTAAATGATCTGCCTAAAAAATGTTTCATCATCTTAATCTTTTTAAGTTTTAAAATTAAAAATGTATTTTAGCTATATTATTTCTCTTCCCCGAACTCCTCCCAGATTCCTCCCTACCCAGCCCACTTTACATTGTTATCTTTGGAAAAAACCTAAGAAAGCAAAGAAGCAAAAAGCATCATAAAAAAAGATAAAAACTAAAACTAAGATAAACTGAATCAAAACAAGAATTATAATTGGCCAATTATTCTGGAGCATTGAGTGTGGTTGGTATATTCACTGTTACTTTCCTTAGTTAAGGTTTCCATTGCTGTGAAGAGACATCATGACCAAAACAACTCTTTATAGAAGACAACATTTAGTTGGGGCTGCTTACAGATTCTGAGGTTCAGTCCATTGTCATGGCAGGAAGCATGGCAGCATCCAAGAAGAGGTGGAGCTGGAGGAGCTACATGTTGTTCCAAAGACAGACAGCAGAAGACTAGCTTCCTAGCTTCAAGTCAGCTAGGAGAAGAATCTCAAAGCTGACCCCAAAGTGAAACATTTCCTTCAACAAAGCCACACCTCCTAATAGTGCCACTCCTTGGGCCAAGTATATTCAAGTCACCACATTATTCCATTAAAGAAAACAGGTTTTTCTCTCCCAGAAGCTATCAATTACAGGTACCTTCTTTTTCCATAATGGGACTTTATGCCCACTTTCCCATTCTCTGTGCTGGGAGTTTATCTGGTTTAAACTTTCTCAAGGATTTGTGCATGCAGAACCTTTAGAAGAATGCAATTTTGACTTTGACTTACAGAGACTATTGTTAATCACTATCATTTATCCATGTATTCATCTGTGAATATTTTTTAATGTATAGATGACTGTGGATTCTTTACAGTCTATTTAATTGGAAAATAGTATGTGAAGATCTTTATGTTCCTGCTTTAATGTCAGAGAAGCAAACCTTATTAAGATAACTTTGGACATTTAAGAAATATATATTACTATTAAATTCTTTACTTCTATGAGTAATATTTACTGCTTCCAAATATGGCATGATGATTATTTAATAATGAGTATATAAGAAGTACTATTTTGTAGACTTGGAATTACCCATTAAAAAATGTAGTTGTTATAATCAGAGACTTGATCTACTCACTTGCCTTACAACCAACAAATACCTTTGGAATTTGGGGATATAATTTCCTGTTAATATTCCTGTACGTATTTAAATAGTTTATTTTTAAAATAATTTTTATAGTGTGCTCATTTTGGAAACACGTATACTAAAATATGAACAATACAGAGAAGATTAGCATTGTCTCTGTGTAAGGATGACACACAAATTCATCAATCTTCCCCATTTTTAGAACAGAAATTAAAAATTGTTGCTCATTAATATTTCTTACCAACAATGGACTCAATTTTCTAACAAAAGACACATTCTAACAAGATGGATACAAAACCAGGATCCATCATTCTCTACATACAAGAAACACAACTTAGCAACAAAGACAAGCATCAATTTGGAGTAAAGGACTAGACAAAGATTTCCCAAGCAAATAGGAACAAGAAGCAAGCTGGAGTAACCATTGTAATATCTAATAAAATAGATTTTCAACTAAAATTAATCAAAAGAGATGGGTAAGGAGATTTCATACTCATCAAAGGAAAAATCCTCCAGGATAATGTCTCAATTCTGAATATTTTTGCAAGACCACCCATATTTATAAAAGAAACATCACTAAAGCTTAAGTCACATAGTGAACCCCACGCACTACAATTGGGAGACTTCAACCTCCCACTCTCACCAATGGATGGACCATGTAGATAGCAACATAAAACTGACTGATGTTATGAATCAAATGGACCTAAAAGATATCTACATATAATATTCCACCATAAGAGAAAAGAATATACTTTATCCTCAGCACCTCATGGAACCTTCTTCAAAACTGACCATATACTTGGACACAAAACAAGTCTCAGCAGATATAAGAAAATTGAAGTAAGCTCCTGTATCTTATCAGAGCACAATGGATTAAGCTGGGCTTCACAATAACAGAAACAAAAGAAAGCTCACAAACCCATAGAAACTGAATATCTCTCTACTCAATGACTACTGGTTTATGAAATAAATAAATAAATAAATAAATAAATAAATAAATGACTTTCTAGAATTCAATGAAAATGAATGCCTAACATATATAATCTTAAGGGACACAATGAAAGCCATGATAAGAGGAAAACCCATTGCCCTAATTGATTGCATAAAGATATTAGTCAAGTCTTTGTTTTTAATATGTGGATAGTATTCTATTGTGTAGATGTGCCATATTTTCTTTACTCATTCTTTAGTTGGACATTTAGTTGTTCTAGTTTCTGGTTATTATGAATAAAGCTGTTTTGAACACAGTTGAGCAAGTGTCCTTGTGGTATAGTGGGGCATCTTTTGGATAGAATAATTCTCACTCTTCTGAGAAATTGCCAAAATGATTTCCAAAGTGGTTGTACAAGCTGGCGTTTCCACCAGCAATGGAGGAGTGTCCCCCTTGCTTAATATTCTCACCAACATCTGCTATCACTGGAGTTTTTGATCTCAGCTGTTCTGACAGTTGGAAGATAGAGTCTCAAGATTTTTTCATTTGCATTTCTCTGATGACTAAGGATATTGAATATTTCTTTAACTGCTTCTCAGGCATTTGAGATTCCTCTGCTGAAAATTCTCTGTTTAACTCTGTACACCATTTTTTCAATTGAGTTACTTGATTCTTTTAGTGTCTAATTTCTTGAGTTTCCCAATCTGATAGTATCTTAAAGAAGCTTTTTAAGTTCATGAGGTCCTATTCACCAACTATTGAGCTTAAAACCTGAGGAATTAGTGTTCTGCTCAGGAAATTGTTTCCTGTTCTGGTAGATTTAAGGCTATTTCCCACTTTCTCTTCTATTATATTTAGTGTGTTATGTTTTATGTTTATGCCTTTGATCTATTTGGACTTGAGTTTTGTGAAGGTCTATAAATATGGACCTATTCGTATTATTTTGCATGCAGACATTCAGTTAAACAACATGAATTTTGCAGACAAATGAATGCAACTCAGGATATCTTCCTGAGTGAGGTAATCCAGAGCCAAAAAGATACATATGGAATATATTCACTTATAAGTGGACATTAGCCAAACAGTGTAGGATCAACAATGTTACAATCCACAGAGCCAAAGAAATTGAGTAGTGAGATAGCCCCAAGTGAGAATACATGAATTGCACTCAGAAGGGGACTCTAAAGAGTCACCAGAGGTAGATAGAGTGAGGGGACTGAATAGAGGAGTGTGAAGAGGGGAATAGGGCTGATTATTAGGTGTGGAGAGATAGGCCAGGGGAGTGGGCTGGGAGAGAGAATGAAATTGGGGCATCTCTTGTGACTAGCTGCAGGCCTAGGATGAGAAAGGATACAGGGAGTCGATGGGGGTGATTCTAGCTGAGATTCCTACTAGAGCAAGATATAGAGACTGAAGTAGCCACCTCCTGTAGCCAGGAAGGACTTCCAGATTAGGGAGCAGAACATCAGTTCACTCACAATACCTTCATTCCAAAATTTGTCTGGCTTACAAGACATACAGAGATAAATCTGGAGCAGTGACTGAGGGAACAACTACAACAGCTTGAGACATGTCCATATGAGAAAGCCAACTCCTGACACTAATAGTGCTATGCTTTAAGACAGGAGCCTGGTATAGCTGTCTCCTGAGACGCTTTATCCAGCAACAGATGGAATCAGATGCAGAAACCCACAGCCAAACATCAGGTGGAGCTGAGGAGTCTCGTGGAAGAGTTGGGGATAGAAGTAAACAAGCTAGAGATGTCAAGGATACCAAAAGAAGACTTACAGAATCAAATAGCTTGGTGCCATGGTGGCTTACATAGCCTGAGCCACCAACTGGGGAACATGCAGGAGCTGGACCTAGACTCCCTAGATATTTGTAGCAAATGTACAGCTTGGTCTTCATGTGGGTCCCCTAACAAGTGGAGTGGGCGCTGTCTCTGTCTTTGTTCCTGCCCTTGGCTCCCCTTCTCCCTACCAGAACTACCTGGTTGGGCCTCAGCGGGAGAGCATTTCTGTCCTGCTTATCACTGGATATCCCAGGGTGGACTGGTACACAAGGCGTGCCTCCCTTTCTCTGTGAAAAAGGGGAGGGGGCAATAGGGGAAGGAATTTGTCAAGGTTGGAATGGGAGGAGAGGAGGCAACCAGAGCTGTGATCAGGATCTAAGATGAACAAAAAAGAAAAAAACCTACTAAATTACTGGAAAAAGAAGAAATTAGTGGGATCTCATACTAGTGACTTGAGAGCACACATACAAGCTCTAGAAAAAACAAAAAAACAAAAAGAAGCAAACATACCTAAGAGGAGTAGATGGCACAAAAAATTAAAATATTGGCTGAAATCCACAAATTAGAAAGGAGTTAGGGGAAGGACTGAAGAAGTTGAAAGGGTTTGCAACACCATAGGAATAACAATTATATCAACCAGATCCCCCAGAGCTCCCAGAGACTAAACCACCAACCAAAGCATTCACACGGAGGGGCCCATGGCTCCAGCTGCATATGTAGCTGAGGATTATCTTATTAGGCATCAATGGGAGGGGAAGCCTCCCATTTAAAATAAAATAGAAAATATTTTAGGTTGCAGGGTATTATATTTGGATTTTATGAAATTTAACCTCACATATTATTATTCATAATATATAAATATTTTGCCAATACCTAGTAACACAATTGACTTTCCATTTTCTGTTACTATTCAATGCAATTGTATTTACTAAAAATTGTCACATATAAAAACATCAAGTCTCAGAGATACTAACAGCTTCCCAAGCATTATAGAAATAATAAACAAAGATAAATAAGCTCAAAATTAAATCATTTCTTAGTCTGATGGAGTAAAGTTTTTCATTTTTTTCAACCATTTCAAAATGTATTTGCTTAGTTATTGCTTTTTAGAATAGTATAAATTAGAACTTATCAACATTACTGTTTGTAGGATGTGCGCTAAGCAGTAGTACATGGGATGTATCTTCAAAGTTATATGCTAAACACATGATAAACACATGAAAGTACAGTTTTCTAGATTAATATTTTTTCTTTTTCATTAGGTTTTAAGATTATAATGTAATTATATCATTTAACCCACCATTCTCCTTATAGGCCCTGTCATATAATCTTTCTTGTTCCTTTTCAAATTAATAGCCTCTGCGCTCGCTCTCTCTCTCTCTCGCTCTCTCTCTCTCTCTCTCACACACACACACACACACACACACACACAAAATCCTAAATTTATAAGTACAGTCTGCTCAGCCTGTGCAATGTTGCTTGTATACTTTATACTTACAGGGGTTACATCTTGATATTGTTTCTTAGTCTGTCTGAATCATATTTTTCTAGTAGTCTTGAATTCTAGAGGTTATGATTGCACATACATTTAAAGCATATATTATAATACTACTTAGCCTTCTGAGTAAATAAAATGGAAATCTGATTTTATGTTATCATGCAGTGTGATATTTTTTGAGTGGAGGAGGATATGGACAGTTTCAAGGCTATCCTGGAGGCCAGGGTAGACTGCCTTGAATTACTGTTACTGTTTTTGTGTGTTCTTTGCCTGTGATATACGGCTATCCTTTTTGTTGAAATTTTTGATGTCTACCACTGTGGTGTATAAGGACTCCCAAAAAAAGAAAAATATAAATCTCCTAAATTTACAAGAAATGAAACACATAAGAGGTTATTATTGGGAGTAACTAAGAAAGACCCTTCTGGTAAAAAAAAAGAAAAGAAAAAATGTCCCAAGGTCCCATGTCAATAATTAAGTGATCGACTTCAAATGTGTATTACTACATTATTTTTTTTTTTGCTCAATTCTCTGGTGTAAAACTGAATAAATGCTGTACTTTTTGTTTTCTAGAAAACAAGCTGGTAATTGACAAAGCAGAGATGATTAGGTAAATGAAGAGAAATAAGCCATATGGAATGCATAGGTCAGAGTCCAGAGCTCAAATCCTTTAGCGATAGTTCAAGATGCTACTGCTGTTCTCCTTTACTTGCTATTCTTCCTCATTTTTATAATAACAGAATTTCTTATGAAACAATTTTGAGGGGCTCATAGGATGATGATGGGAAATAAATGCTGTGGTTATCCACCTTCCTCTTTTTTCTCTCACACTCATAATATTGTAAGATTGTTTTTAAAAGAGACTTTACTTTTACTTTTGGTGTCTGAGATGTTTTTGTCAAACACAATCCATGGGGGATGAAATAAAATTGACTTATATATTAGCCCACCTTAATACAATACAGAGCATAAATTAACAA